TTTGTCAAGGGTTTGCTAAATTCTCACTTTTTGTATCAAAAGTTGTAGAATTTTAAGAAATTCCTAGTTGCTGCAGAATTTACTAATAAACTATACTGTTTGCTTCTAAGAAAGTTTCTTTGTTTTATGCAAAGGCTTCTTTTTCTTTAGAAAGGTTTTGGTAGTTTGTTAATTTGTTTTTATAAAACTTAGTGTTTTTTCTTAAATCTAAATTTGGTACAGAGGATCGAAGTTTTTACAATCGAGATATAGTAATTAGTTGCAATTATTATATAATTTTTACCTTTATGTCTAGTATGAGCTATAATAGTATATTATAGCTACCTTTTTTTTTTTGCTTTTTTCATCTTTGTTTATTTATGTTAGATTATTTTAGAATTTGTTGTTTTTTTTCTCACCTTGAAGTGTTTTTTTTTTTAAAATATTTATATCTTTTATAAACATGGCTTTATTTTTTTCACTTTTATATACGAATAAGAGTTTAATTATATTGTTGGGCTTAGATAGAAAAAATCTAAAAAAAGAAAAAGGTGGTTATGGCAGGCAGTAGGTACTATTTGTTGAGATCCAGGTCATATCCAATTGCAGAAGGAGTTTAGAAGGAGGTGAATCCTACTATAGCAGGTCGAACATAGATACCAAGTTGGTAACTGGGTTAGTCATAACTTGTAATTTAGATAACAATTAGACTATGATATTTGTCATTTAAAGATAATTCTCATATACTATTTGCTAACAAGTTAAGAGTTTATTATTGTAAAATTTTATATATTTTAGATGAGTTGTACAAAGCTTAATAAAGTTAAAGCATGACTGCCGAATTATTAAAAAAAAAAAAAAAAAAGTTAATAAGTAGTTAATTAGAGAGTTTAAAATAATAATTTTTTAGTAAATTACAGATATAGCTTTTAATATAAAATCTTTGAGTAAACTATTTAATTGGTGATCTACTAGTCAACCAGAGAATAATCATAGTAAAATTACTTATAAAAATTAGGGGTCTTCAAATGTGGTGTGCGCACATCTAAAACTTTTTTTTATACTAAGTTAATCACTTTTCTAACTTAAAAGACTTTTGTAAAGCTTGTCAAGACGTATCTAATGGTGGTTAGAGCATCAAAATCGGCTTGGTGGGTGCTGAGATATCTTTAAAAACCGTTTTTTTTATTATATAATCTTCTTTGCAAATAATACTATTGTTTGCAAAGAAGTTTATATAGTAAAAGAAACATTTTTTAAAGATATCTCGACACTCACCAAGCCGATTTTGACGCTCTAACCACTATTAGATGCGTCTTGACAAGCTTTACAAAAGTCTCTTAAGTTAGAAAAGTGATTAACTTAGTATAAAAAAAGGTTTTAGATGTGCGCACGCCACATTTGAAGACCCTAATTTTTATAAGTAATTTGAGTTACATTTTACTATGATCATTCTCTGGTTGACTGGTGGATCACCAATTAATAAAACAAAAAGTCTAATTAAATTACAATGATACAGTAAGTTGTTTTAATATTGCTACAAATAATAACTATGTAATTAAAAGTAATATGAGTATTTCAGTATACAGTGAATCTTTTTAAATACACTTTTTTTAGATATACATTGTTTACTAAATGTGTTTAAATTGGCCAAATATATGCTTATTTCTAAATATATGTTATTTGATTTTTGAAAATCTGAAGTTTTAATTGGCTTACAGTTATGTGATTGCATTTATAAAGGGACTTTATATATAATAGGCCAAAAAAATAGCATGCATTTACAAAATAAAGAATATGCATTTATCTATAAGTCTCATAGTAGGCCTATGCTTCTATTGTGCATTTAAGAAAAGGTAGCATTTAGGGGGGTAGCATTTAGAGGGTCTGACTATAGAATTAAATAAACTCTTTTTTATTAGATGAGCCTCACTAAGAGCTTTTATTTAAAAAAAAATTCATCTAAATTGGATTGCTAGTTGCCAAGATAATTACAAAAAACCACTTTTTGTATATTTTGAACCCAAAGTAGATTACATTGAACCTGAAGTAGATCTAAGTAAAGTTGTAGAGTGAATAATTCTGATTCAAATAGTGGTTAAATCATTAAAATCAGGCTAGTAATTATTGAAATATATAGAACATATCAGCTAATTTGTTTTGATCTCAAAATTAACTAATTATAATTAAAAATTGTCAACAAATTTTGTGCTTAAAATTATTTCAAAGTGAATTTATATAAAAATATCCTTTTTAACTAACTTTATACTTCTAATTAAATATATAGAAAATTATAAGATTTACATATTTTATTATAAGTTAAAAGTATATTAAAAAGGCTATTTTTTAAAAAATTTGCTTCTGAATTTACTTTTAATAGTTATCAACTAGCTAAACCAATCTTAAAATACCCAAATATATCAACAAATGGTAAAAGTACTTCTTTTTATAACTTAGTATAGCTGTTTTTTTTTTTGTTTTTTTATTTTTTTATTTTTTATTTTTTTATTTTGTCTAGAGACAAAAAAGCTCTTTTTTAATTATATACAAGTACTTTGTTTATTACTTTTTTAACATTACTTAGGAGCAAAAAATTTGTATAACTTTTGGTCCAAAAAGGCCCAAAAATTAAAATCAGCCAATAAGATTAAAGATCTAAACATAAAAATTGCTGTTATATAAAAATCAATACTTTGTATAATAGTGGTTTTGTCAATTCTTATGTTTGCATCTTTAATCCAAGATATCTTAAGAACTACTAGGCCAATTTTGATGATCTAACTACCATTTGACTTAGAAGTTATCTTTACTTAATAACTTCTTGTATAAATTTAAAAAATTTATTAATAAATTAGAATAGCAGATTTAATATTATATAATTTAAATGAATTATTTATATTAGTAATCTAAACATTATCATTACATATAAATATTTTTAGTATATAGTTAGGGCTCTGATATTTATTACATAATATTTATTCACTATAAGGGCTACTCTCCTCCCCTATATAAGATCTATATAATTGACCAATTTAGAAATCATATAATTTTTTTGTATAATATAAGATATTAATATAATATATGCTTAACCTCACTTCTAAAATATTATGTAATAAATATTATAGCTCTTATAGATATAAATATATATATTATACAATATCTACAGTTATATCTCTTATATCTTTGTCTAATTACTATTTAATATATAACAAAAAACCTCTATATAAGCACACCTCTTTATAAAAACATTTTTTTAAAAAAGTTTTTATGATCCCAAAAGTGTGATTATAAAGAGATACGATTATAATTAAAAACAAAATAAGTATTGTCAACGAAAACCTGTTATTGAAATTTCAATTATATTTTGTACCAGATTTAATTTATATAATTTAATTGATGATCTACCAGTCAGCTGAAGAATGATTATAGTAAAATATGACTCAGATTACTATATAAATTTACTATAGTGTGAATCCCAGATTCGCACTATAGTAAATTTATATAGTAATCTGAATTACATTTTACTATGATCATTCTTCAGCTGACTGGTAGATCATCAATTAATATGAAATTGTATTTGATACAAAAATATCTGTTGATAGGTTTTCTCTTTATATGGTTCGTGTTACCTATAGTCATCAAACAAATTTATGCAACTTCAAACAATAACTAGTTTTTTTATTAAAATAAAATTAAAAAATTAAACCGTAAAAATAATAAATTTAATGTTTCTCTATCAGATTTATGGTTTAGTTTTTTTGGTAACCTTTTATTTTTATGAAGTATTAAAGTTTAATATTAGACATTTTTATTAATAATCTTCAAATTTCAGACATCAATCATTTTATTTTATCCAATCAGTGAGCAGAAAAATCATGTAACCTGATAAGTACAAAACACAAAATAATAGATTATACATAATATCATATGACAAAGAGTTTCGTAGACAAACTTCAACCCATTAAAGATTTTTAAAGCTGTTAACGCTTCTATGGCTTCTTTAAATACTATATTGCTTTAAAATCATTATTACTGTAGCAATGTAATAATATTTAATGCAAAGCTTAACGATATTATTTACCACAACTTGAGTCATAGTTAAAAGCTGCAACACCATAGCGATAGCCTAAGTTGCAGCTTATCGGCTTTGGTCGGCTTGACTCAATTGTGTAGCTAAAACTGGCTTCGGTATTTGGTTAGTCAATTCCAAAGGATGATAAAAAAAAAATACTGACAAATTTGGAAGTATACTATAATACATATTGTGGCGTCAAGATCACATGAAAAAGCAATCCAATCAGATTCACGGATTCAGATACACCCTTTCACTTGTTGTTAAACCATACTCTACGTACTTTGTACTCTGTTCCTGGTAATATAAAAAATAAATGAATAAATAAAAATAATAAATTCAAACAAATATTTGTTAAGACACTTATCGTTTAATGATCAAAGCTTTATTCTCATACGATGTCGTGATTGGAATATAACAGCCCAAAGATACTAGCCTAATAAGTAAAGTAATTAAGGTAATTAAGAAGCATAGTCGAGAATAAGATAAAACTAAAAATAGCAAACCTCAAATAAAGTAATAATAATATAATAGCAGAATAGGAGATCTTAAATAAAGCTGTTTTAAAGCGTGTGAAAATAAAAAATGAATGAAACTAAATAGTTAGAAAAAAATTATTATTTCAGCCAAAGCCTTGATTAAAATAATAAAAGGTATTCTTTTGTATAAATATATATATATATCTGAAATGTTTATAAAGGAACATATATTTAAATTAATACATAAAACACATCTCGTCACATTAATTATTAAAAAAAATAAAATAAAATTAAAAAAAATACCTCATATAAACTATAAATAAAATCTTTTTTCGTGATTAGACATAATGACAAGTCGTATATCTCTAACTTTTTATAAAAAAATAAAAAAAATACTGCTTCTCTTCAAAAGAAAAAGGAAAGCCAAAAATCAGGCTAGAGATATTGAAAGACAGTATAATACCAAAAAAATGGAATTAACTAATCAAGAAGACATGGTAAATGAGCTATATAATAGCAATACTGAAGATAAACTGGACGTTAGCATTGAAAACGAAGATGAGGAAAATGGTAGCTGGAATAAATATAATGAGTTAGATATTAGTGATTTAGAATAGGGAGATGAGAATGATAGTGGATGGAATGATATGGAGAGTGAAATTAAAGAACTTAACTTGGCATGGAAAAATGATAGTCAATTCGAAAAAACAAAACAGGGCCCGTATATGAAGAGCAAGACACCAAAGTCAACTTATTATGATAAGTACAGGCCAACCGGTATTTTTACTAAAGCAGCAGTTGGTACAAAAAAAATTACTAGCTTTTTTACAAGTTCACAACCATTAGACCCAAACAACTTAGAAGAAATCTCTGATGACTCAGATAGTGAACCTAACTCATATACTTTTATGATAAATAGAAAAGCAAATGATTTAAAAAAGCAGTTAGAACAAAACCATAATAAACTAATGGTTAAAGAATACAATTACAAAAGAGCTATTTTTGAATACTTTATTTTATTAAGTAAAAATAATGGACATGGAAAAATTAAAGCTAGCTTGGATGTTGCTCGTAAGGTCTTTATTGATGGTAATGTGTGGAAAGCTCAAAAAATTCGGTATCTTATGAAGTATTGGTTACTTAACGATAAGCTCCCACTATCTAGACATGGAAAACACCAAAAAACAATTAAAATAATTGACGATGAAGATATTGGAGACAAATGTCATATTTGGATTAGAAGCCAAAACTTTAAGGTTACTCCCGCCACATTTAAAAAATTCATCGAAGATGTGTTGTTTCCTAATATTGAAATTTTTTTAAAAAAAACTGTTAGCTTAAAAACCACAGAGAGATGGCTAAAGGTTCTTGGCTATTCATTTCGACGACATCATCAAAGTATATATTATAATAGTTATGAGAGAGATGACGTTTTGGAATATAGAAGAGAATTTTTAGAAAAATATTCGATTATAAAAAGTATATGTCAAAATATGAAGGAAATTCCATGGAAAGAATACATCCTAGTTTACCCCAAGGTGAAAAAGAAAGAATTTTTGTAGTACACGATGAATGTGTATTTTATTTAAATGATGGTAAACGTGGTGTATGAACCAAAGATGGAAAAATGCCACTATGAAAAAAAGGAAATGGGAGGTCGATCATGGTTAGTGAATTTCTTACTGAAGTTGAAAGACGTTTATGTTTACAACAATCCGATATAGAAAAATACTCTGATGTACCTAAAGAAGCACGATATTACTTGAGATCTAGCGCAAATCAAGAAGGTTACTAGACAACAAAACACCTTCTCGAACAAATTCACTATAAGGCGATTCCTATTTTTGAGACTTTGTATCCTGATTGTGTGGCTGTGTTTGCCTTCAACAATAGTTTTAATCATGGTGCATTTAGTAAAGATACTTTAATTGCAAGTAGAATGAATCTGGACCCAGGTAGAAAACAGCCAATTATGCATAATATTTATTTTGGAGAAGATAGTCAACTACAATCAATGGTGTTTCCAGAAACTGATTTAGATGTGAAGCTATATGAGGAATTATATGAGGAATTGGATGAGGAACTTCGAGGAAAGCCTAAAGGTATTAAACAAGTGCTAATTGAACATAAAAAATGGCTATTTGAAGGATTAGTCTTAAATTGTAAAAATTGCAAACAAAAGATCAAAGATACTTCAAGAGTTTCTTGTTATGCACGTAGAGTATTGTTTTTGGAACTCGATTTTGTTGCCCAAAAAAATGCAATTCAAGAATTAATTGAAAATGCAGGACATAAATGCATTTTTTTCCCAAATTCCATTGTGAGTTAAACTTTATCGAAAAATATTGGGGAGCTGCTAAAAGGCATACACGAGAAAATTGTGATTATTTATAGTTGGGGTTACAAAAAACTGTCTCTGAAAGTCTTGAATTAGTACCTCTAATAACCATTAGAAAGTTTTCAAGAAAATGTTGGTGTTATATGGATCTTTATAGAAATGGTCTTAGCGAAAAACTAGTAGAATATGCAGTAAAAAATATAAAACTCACAGAAGAATCCCAGACAGGATTTATAAGGAGTTAGATAAATTAGAGTAAAATTTAATTTGCTGCTACTGTATTGTTACTCTATTTGTTAAACTTGAAATTATAAAAAAAAAAGTTTGATCGTTAATAAGTTTATTTTATTTAGCTTTAAATATATATATTAAATTTTTTTGTATTCAATAAAGGTTTATATAACTATAGCAAAAATTATTGCGAAATCGATTGATCTATCTTATACAGTATTTATAGTATTTCATTTTACTGATTTAGGCTATTAATATTGGCCAATAGAAACTATGGCATGTGATCAAAGATCGATATCCAAATTTCGGACTGATCTGCATTGTTTGATGACTATAGATGACGTGAATCATAGCACTCAAATAAGATCTAACAAAAATCTATAAATAAGTCATGTTTTAAGCATATATAAACAGATTTACTCTTTTACTTACTAGATAACAATTACATTCATTTAGATCTGAAACAACATTGTACAACTATCTTATATATTTTGAATTTTGCACGTCTGATTGTACTATTAACCCTAGGTACCGCACACAAAATGCGCGGCTAACGGCCGAAGATCTTCAAAATTTTGGCCCGCATTACATAATTGTTTACTAATTTCCAGCCAAAATTAACTTTTTAATTTTTTCATTACAAAAATATAAATTTTTAAGAAATAAGCCCGCATTATGGTAAAATTGACCCAGGAACAATTTTCACTTAATAAGCGGCTGTGATTTCATTAGTAAAATTATGAGTAATTCTGGCCTAATTTTTTGATCGTCGCCCGTAGCCAATCAAAATCGAGGATCTGTCGCGCATTTTTTGTGCGGCCAATGGTTTGCGTACGTACTGTACGTGCGTGCGTACGTACTGTACATATCTGATATCTGATATCTGATATGTGCGTGTGTAGAGTTTGACTCCCGAACTGTTGAGAAATCGGATATTGTGAAATTTATTTTTTATTTTTTTAATTTTTTTATTTGATTTATTTATTTTAAAGGGTTTTATAATTTATCGCCATAGCGATATGTCGCTAGTCTAATAGTTCTATACGCGGTTTAAAGCTGTGCTTACAAATCATTAATCTTAATGATTTGTAAGCAAAGATTGAAACTCCGCATAGATTAGCTATGGCGATAAATTATAAAACCCTTATTTTAATATATGGGGTCTTTACCTTGAAAATGACCTTACGGTACATGATACCGTAAGGTCATTTTCAAGGCAAAGACCCCATATTTAATTTACTTATTTCAAATTTATTATTTATTTAAATATATGTCGTATCATTCGTTTGTAGTATGTATAATGACCCAAATGACTTTGGTCATTTATAAATGACCAGGTCATATGGTCACGAATCATTTTTAAATGACTCGAAAATTAGATGACCAAAATGATCGGTCATTTTGGGGTCATTTCAGGCCATTTACAAAATAGGCAAATGACCTGGTCATTTATCATCCCTGATTGAATAGATTAACTGGATTGTCTGAATATCAACAGTTTGGACAATCCGTAAGAATTTACTGGGATATGTGAATTGTCAATCAACAGATCACACCAATATCGGGTCCACTAATTTTAAAACTTATAGTAAACCTCAGTCAGTATGCGGCTGAGAGTTTATATCATTAAAGAGAAAATTTTTAAAGATCACGTATATATTGCACTTATAATAGACAGTCTGGATATTTAAAGAAAAAATTGCATTAATATAGATTTTGTGATTCACACTTGGGTCTAATTCATGGTTGATCTTGTATATGGCAATTTACGGTACTGTGATGTATTTTTTATTTAAAATATTGAAAACTATAAAATTAAATACCACTAATACAATTTAATTAAACAAACATATATGACCAATCTCTATTATTTTTTCTAATTATATACACTAATTATTATTATTAACTTACCTCAACAATATCAATTGTTTATATTACAATTTTATAGTGACAATTGAAGTTTAGCAAATTGTTCTGCAACTTTTAATGCATTACCAATTTCATTAACATTTGTTCCGCTGCCTTGAGCAGCATCATCTTTACCTCCAGACTTTAAAAACAATAAATTAACAAATAATCTAAAAAAATGTAAAATGAAAAATAAATATTCTACATACCTTTCCACCAACGCTTTCAGATACGGCTTTAGCCCAATTAGCAGCTTTTAGTCCTTTATCAACTAAAGGCTTACCCACAATACAACTATGAGCTACACGACATGAAGTTTCATCAATCGAAAATAAGTAAGCAGCCTTGTCTTTTAGGTTTGTCTTACAATGTGAGATACCACCAGCAATAGCCTATAAATATTATAATGATAAAAACATTAAAGGACAATAATAATAAACGTGGGTATATTAAATAATTTACAAGTTTACTGACCTTTGTGTTTGACCCAACTTCTAGTAATTTGATGATATACGGACTATTAGGATTTTTTTCAAAATAATTATTTATTATATCTATAACCTAATTTGTCAAAACAAATAATGTAAGTCAGTATACTTAATACAAAATAAAAATAATATACAATCAGATCTCATTATGATCACTCTTAATATAGTCACAACTAGGATCTACAGGCCGGTCTCGGGCTCGTGCTCATGTCTAACAAAAGTATAGGCAAGGCGCAGGCACAAAATTTTTGGCATGGGCATAGGTACGGACACAAAAATTTGGCACGGGCATGGTCACAGGTACAAAGTTTGGCATGGTTTGGCACGGGCATAGATACAAAAATGTGCAAAGAATATAGATTGTACCCGGGTAGACATTTTTATTGTATGGCTATAATAAATTACCCGGATAAACTGGTAATTTAATAGTACCCGGGTAGAGATTTTCTTGACGGGTACAATCTCTAGCCAAAAACTTTCATAAGTATAGATGTGAAGTGCCAGGTATAAGTTGTCACTTAGTGCCTGCCACATTTGTGCCTGTCAGTACCCATAATGTGTCTGGCTATTTTGTGCCTAAGAACACAGGCACGGCTCAAGGTACTGGTGCCTGACCTGATGCCTGATTTGCCTGGCATGATTTGCAGATCCCAAGTCACAAACTTGTTATAATCACTATTTTTTTGATCTAGCTATTATAAAACATAAATTTTGACCTTCATATAGCCATAGCTTTTTATAATCACCAAAATTTTGATTCCCAACTTGACGATTATATCGAGGTCTGACTGTATATATGTGTAAATATATGTAAATACCTCTTTTGTTTGTGCAGCTTTCCTGGCCCTGTCAGAATCATTAAAGGCTTTTCTTAGTTCATTTAGCGTTTCACGATACTCTGATTTTTTTAATGACGATATATCTGAAGCATCAAGTTCTTTTGATACTTGTTTAAGTGCAGAATCTAATTCTGCTCCTTGTAATTTTGAGATCTTATCAAGTTTGATTCGGAATTCATCAGCAACTTTAATAGCCTATTGAACAATTTGATAGAATTAATTAAATTCGGAAGACTAAATAATAAAAACTCAAATATATTCGATATATATATATATATATATATATGGCACCTGCTGAGCTTCTTCTCCAGTCACAGCGATTATTCTACGAATGCCTTTAGCAATACCAGATTCTTCCAAAATAACAAAATCTTTGATATCACCGGTTTTTGCAACGTGACTTAAACATAGCAAAAAAATAAGCGATTGAAGTTCTAATAAATAATTAATATATTAGGTGTTTAATACTTACGTTCCGCCACAAAATTCTATCGAAGTGTCACCCCATTTTGGATTTGATACGTCCTGCACGATATCGTTCACATCATATCCTATGGATACTACTCTAACAGGATCAGGGTATACCTCACCGAATACAGCGCGAAGACCATGAATGGCCTTTGCGGCAGCTAATGGAACATCCTTCGAATATACAATTTTATTTTTATTGATAAATTCATTTGAAATTAGCTCTACGTGAGCTAGCTCATCGTTCGTGACACCTTTCTGTATCGACAAGTAAAATAGAATGTGATTATTGATAAAGTTTGTTTTTATTCCTTATATGAAATGAACAGATAAATACCTTCAATGAAAAATCAAACCTTAATTTTTCAGGTGCAACTAGCGATCCTTTCTGATCAATTGAATTACCCAGAACTTCTCGTAATGCATAATTTAGAATATGTGTAGCAGTGTGATTATTCATGAGTAGCTTACGACGTGGCTTTTTATGTAGAAAAAAAAATAAAATAAAATAAATAAATAAAAAATATATATAACTTGTAGCTTAACCGATAATGAAATAAACAAACTAATACAATAATCTTACATACCACATCATATGAGACCACTGCTTCATTTTCGAAAGCAAATCTACCATATATTAGACGCCCTATATGCAAGACATAGCCTGCAAATATCTGCACATTTTTCACCTCAAATTCTGCTTGGGTATCAACGGTATCGATAGTGATGAAACCTGTGTCATACTGTTGACCACCTTGTTCTGCATAGAAATTTGTACGATCAAGAATTATTCCAAAGGATTTGCCAGGTGGAATATCATCAGTATTTGGAAAGAATGAGTGATTATAGTAAATGCCCTTTACAGTGGCTTTTATGCTTTCACTTTCTGTGTACAACAAAAAAATAAAATTATTATCTATGAACGGATATAGTTACAATAACTAGAATATTTAATACATACGGTACTTGAAATTATCGTTAGTTATATTAGCAATTTTGTCCTTTTCTATCTTTGCAATATCATGCATATCCAAGGCTACAACTTCTCGATCATCAGTACCAGTATTACGACCATTACGGCTTTTTTTTTTAGCTTCATCTTGGTTTTCCAAGAATTCTTGCTCATTCACACTGAGACCATTTTCTTCAGCCATCAATCGTGTCAAATCAACTGGAAATCCGTAGGTGTCATATAATCGCCAAACATCAGCGCCTGAAAGTAGTGCAGAATTACTCTGTTTGGCCTTTTGCAAATAAGTGTCAAAGAGCTTTTCACCACGGTCTAAAGTACGAGAGAATGACTCTTCTTCTTCATCAAGTATCTCCTTAACACTAGAGACTTGCTTTGTTATTTCAGGGAAAGCTTCGCCCTGGCAATTAAATAAAATTAAGGGTTTTATACTACTATGTCTAATATGAGCTATAGTCTCAAACCTTCAACGGCAGATGTGTTTGCACATACCATTTCGCATACAACTGTATCTACAAGACTTGAGAAGAAACGACCAATTGGTACATTAAACTTTTTCCTAGCATAACGAGCGCCACGTCTTAAAATTCTTCTCAATACATAACCACGTCCTTCGTTACTCGGTACGCCACCATCTGAAATTGCAAATGTCAAAGTCCGCACATGATCAGCGATTACTCTATAGGCCATATCCAAACCATCAACATCATCTGCGCCAACTTTGCCGGAATAAGGCCTTGCACCAGTTAGCTCTTGAATTTTTTTGAATAAGGGCATGAAAACATCTGTATCATAATTTGAATATTTGTTTTGTAAAGCTGAAACAAGACGTTCTAATCCCATTCCCGTATCGATATGTTTACTTGGTAACTGACGAAGCGAACCATCAGATTCACGATTGAATTGCATAAAGACTAAATTCCAAATTTCGACTACGTTTGGATCATCTTTATTAACTAAATATGCGGCATCACGATCACCAATACGATCATAATGAATTTCTGAACAGGGACCACAAGGACCAGTTTCACCCATTTCTATAAAACAGAATAGAAGCATGATATAGAAGAAATTATGATATGTAAATTAAAAATAGTTAAAAACACATTTATAACACATAATTTCGCGGATATAATTTACCCCAAAAGTTGTCTTTAGAATTTCCGGGGATTAACATCTTTTCTTCTACTCCCACATCAATCCATAAATTTTTTGCCTCCAAATCTGGGGGCAATCCCATTTTCTCATCACCTTCAAAATAAGTAATGTAAAGGCGATCCTTCGGAAGTTTGTACACTTTAGTGAGGAGTTCCCATGCCATAGCAATAGCATCTTTCTAATATATATGTGTCAATTACAATTAATAAGAGCAATGTATAATAAATAAACTGAGGTGTATTCAGACATTGTTTTAGTACAAACCTTAAAATAGTCACCAAATGACCAATTTCCTAACATTTCAAAGAATGTATGGTGGTATACATCTTTTCCTACATCCTCTAAATCATTGTGTTTTCCACCTGAGAAAATTATGCGTATGAAGAAAGTAAACTACACGTTATCTAAGCCTTTTTTATTTCCATAAAATAAAATAAGCTATTCATTATATCGTAGAATTTATACCTGCACGAATACATTTTTGGCTATTGGCTGCTCTTTTAAGCTTTCCAAGCTCTGAATTTGGGTCAACTGTTGCCAAAAATATAGATTTATACTGATTCATTCCCGCGTTCGCGAATAATAAAGTTGGGTCTTCAAAGGGGATCGTTGAGGAAGAAGGTATATGCTTATGGCCTTTTGACTCGAAGTATGATATAAAAGTTGACCGAACCTTTGCGGCGGGCCAATTATTGTTTGTCGTAGTTAATTGTGCCATTTTAATTGTGGAAAAACCTTTCGAATAAAATCGATGAAACTTCGGTAAAAGACTTAGAAGAGAGCACGAGAGATAAGGTTTTTTAAACATTGCCCTTTTTTTTTTAAAGGGATCAAATTAATCCGCAGCTTAGAACACTATCGACCAATCATAATTTCAATAACTGATGACTCATAATCTCTCATCAGTGCTTAAAATTTTTTTGTTTTCCATAATTCGTCGTCTTTCATAATTCATCTTCCGTAATTCGTCTGCGCCCAAAAATTTTTTCGTATTTTAACCGTCCTGTAGCTCATCAGTTCCTTCGAAAAATATAGAGTCCTTAAAGTTCGCAACTATAAAAAATTTATTCTTATATTTATATATTTATTTCTTTTCAATAAAAACAAATAGGTACAGAAATGGCAAAGGGCCTACGCAGTAAGATTAAGCGTCGCTTTCGTGCAATTAAACGTAAAACAGTTTTTGCGCCTGTTGAAGATGCACGTACGTTTCGGCTTTCTAGTAAGCCATCCCAAGCAACAGGTGGTTCCATACGGCCCAAACAGCAGCTTAATGAAACTACTTCTAGTACTTCTTTCACGGTTGAAACTTCTCAGCATGATCCGCAGCTGCAATTAACCTCAGAAATCAATTCTTCTGGGTGCATAATGCCAACCAACATACTTGAAACGATGCAAGATGTCTCAGGTTCGTTATGTTATGAAATACTGGGTTTTCTCAACCCTGATTTTGTCGATATAACGAATCTTGCAGGGCTTGTTCATGTTTTTTCAGACTTATTGGAAGAATCATTCTAAACTTACGGTATTTTCCAAACAGCTACAATAATGGAAGTTGATATTCCCAAAATATCTACACACGGTCCAAGAACTAGTAGAAATTATTTAAAAAAGATGCGTAGTAAAGGCATTACCATCAAAGGAAAAAAGTTAATTCGAAAAAGGAAAAATAATGTTTTGATACATTTTAGAAAGTAGTTTAAATCAGATTTAGAGAACTATTCTATTAACTTCTCGGTAGTTTTTTCTCTTTAAAATCGATGCATTTTAAGTGGATTGAGATGTTATACAATATGATTGACGATCTGGATTATTAGATGGTGATTATTTTATTATTCGATTTTTTTTTAGCAGATTGAAGATCTTTGATCCTATTTTAAATTGCCCAAGTTTTCGCTCTCACTAATCTTGTTTTTTTTTTATTCTTCCTTTTATGTGATATTTATTTTCAATCCATTTAAATTACTTGTTAGATTTTCTGGCTTTATTTTTCCTGGTGTAAATTTTTCTGAATTCAAAATTGTATAATTTATATCTCGCAACCAGAAAAGCATATTTGATTTTGATAGATACGTCATTAAAATATCATAAAGCACAGACCATAGTACTCTATTAAAAGACAGTAGCGGTAACAATTTCTATTTGATAAAAAATAGTAATTGGTAGACAATATTACTAGAAAACGGGAACCGTTTGGGTCCGTAAATAATTTTTTTATTAGATGTCTGTTCTTTGTGTTTAAGATACATTTTTTTATGTAAATTCATCAATTTTATGTACACCATTCGAGTCCTACTTAAGTCAATGATGGCATGTGTTTGAATTCGATCTTGTCAAATTGAGGCCTATGAAAGATGTAGTTTGATAAATAAAATGTTTGAATAAATAAAATGCATAATAAATATGTGAAATCATGTGACTTAGTAAAATTAGTTTCATTTAAAAAGGAAAATTAATGTAAAAAGTAGCTGATTGGTTGAATATACGATGATCATATCAGATATCCATATGGGCCAATTTTTTTGATTTCTGTAGATCCTTGTCTATCAAAACACTCAAAATTGCCTTATTTGGGGGATCGCTAAAGCCTTGTACCCACGTGATCGATCATGCATATCAATAATCACAATGTGATTATTGAATTATTAAT